GTGGGGGGGCTTGCCCCTCCCCCAACTCCAGCAGCTGGAAGGAAGGAGCTGCACAACCTATGGTGAAGAAGACCCCCAGGGCCGGAGAGAGCCCCATTCATCCCCAGACATGGCCCAGGGCCCCTTCCCACTTCCCCTTTGCTGCCATAGGGAATTCAAAACACTTCTGGAGCTGAACTGCATTGAGCAGATTTAATTGGCCCCTTTCAAGCATTCATTCAACAAATAGACCCTGATACACTGGGGACCCCGAGAGAGAAAACAGTGAAGAGTGAGACCCTCCTACAGAGTTGTTCGCAATCTAGTAGTGGTGATAAGGCGCGACTACAAATAGCCACGAGAGAGGAGGCAGAGAAACGTAGAAGGTCACAGCTGGACCTTCCACACCATCTAGCCCGGCGGGCACAGGTGAAGTCTGCTTGCTGCTGTGCCCCCACTTCTGCGCCCCGGCAGACCTCACCAATCAATCCCTGCACTCTGTGGCCACAGATGCTCCTGGTCCCTGAGCCAGGAAACTAACCCCCACCATGGGAGATGCTGTTCCTGGCCCAGCCCCACCGCTTCATTTTGGAGATTAGGCAGCTGAGGCACAGAGAGGGGAAGAGACTTCCTAAAGATCCCACAGGAGTTGGTGGCAGACTGGGAGTGGCAGGTCTCCTGCCTCCAACCCTATAAACTTCTAGATACTTAGTTGGATGGCCTGGGCTGGATGAATTTGGGTGAGGACAGTAGGGGCAGGGTGCACAGTGCCCAGGCTGCTGTGAAGCTCAAAATGGGAGCAACAAGGTCTTGAACTAGGGCAGGAGCAGCGTGGATGGGAGGACGCATTCAGCCAGAAGTGACCCCAGTCAGACCCATGAGTTGACAACAGAGGAAACAGCAGTGTCCCCATGACCGCCTGCAGCTTATGTCTGTGGTCACTGTGTCCCTTTGCTGGGGGTGGGGGGGCGCTGGTAAGTGGGGAGGAGGGGTGCCAGGGACGGTGGAGTCCAGTGCCAAGGGCGTCTTTTTGATGGCAAATTGGAGGGAAGTCCTATTGTGCTGCTTTGGGGCTGAAAAAAGGGTTCCTTTTCACACTCCGAATGCTACAGATTTTTCTTCCTGGAGAGAACAAGGGCTGAACTTTTAACCTGTTTTCTCTCATCGGCCTCAGCCAGAGACGCGCCAAGCCGGGCTCTCTGCCTGGGTCTGAGGAACAGCTGCTGGGAGCCGTGTGGAACAAGGGAGAGGAGACTCTGCTTGGGACTAGAGAGGGCTCGGGTGGGGGAGGCAAGCCTGCCAAGCAGGTGGCCCCACCCCTTGGCTGGATTCTTGGGCTGACCCAGAGGCCAAGCACTAGAGGATTCCATGGCCCAGAGGAGGGGCTGTGAGCTGACAACTTCATTGTAGGGATGGAAGCTCAGGCCCAGAGAGGGCAAATGACTGGCCGAAAGTCATGGACTAAAGGCTGGTGCTCAAGCACCAGGCTCCCAGGGACCTCAGCCTCGGGGGTGCTCCACAGCCCCCCTCTGTCTCCCACCTGAAACGTAACGAGCAAAGGGAGGATCTCAGGAGGCCGGAAGTCAAGGGCTAGTTGGGTTCAGACAGGAAGGGGTGAAGAGGGAATGTGAAATTTGCACATGCCCCGGAAGGGATGCAAGAGGTTCCCTTCTCCCCGTGCCCATTCTGGCTTTGCCTGGAAGCCTGCCTCTGGGAAAGCTATTACCCTTCGGGGCTGGAGCAGGAGGACACCCATGGGTGCTCTCCCTGCAGCTTCCCCTTGGCCTTTTGCTTTTCAGTGTTGACACCTCCCTCCACCCACTGCATGCAAGGCATGTAGGCAGAGCAGATAAATCAGGGGGCGGGAGGTCAGAGGGACTTCGATTCTGACACCTACTTGCCTCATAACCTTGGACCTGTAACCTTCCTAAGCCTCAGTTTCTTCACCTGGAAAATGGCCACAGTGCCCTATGAGTGGGGCCAGGAGGACAGAAGGACACGGAAGTGTGTTCACTTGGAGCCCAGCACAAAGCAGAGCCTCGGAGAATGGCAGATGCTCTTTTTTTAGACGGAGCGCAGTGCTTTTTGGCTGACCCAGGGTCTGCACACACACCATTTCCTCTGGGCTCATGAGGTGGCCCCTGAAAGTGAAGGCAGGTCCGAGAGGCTCCCCCCACACTCCAGACGGTGCCTGCCAACATCTGACAAACATCAGCGTCTTGCTCCTGCGCCGCAGCCTCTGAGGAGCCTTTCCTGGTCCGTCTGACGCTGCTTTCCTGGGATGCCCTGAGTTTCCTCTTTGTTCCTCTCAAAACGAGCACAAAAGTCACATTCGGTTTCCTGGGGAGTCTGGGGCTAGTAGTTCTCGCCCCAGGAACCTGGGCGGGTTCAGGAAGCCAGCACTCCCTCCGCCACCAGCACTTCCTTCCTTCTCCACATATCACTCCAGACATCTCCCTCCATTCCCAAAAATCTGCAAAAGGGAGAGAGAACTCATGGTCCCTGAGATGGAGACCTTTCTACTAGGAGCTGGAGACCCTCACCAATGTCCTTCCAACAATGCCAAGACACAGTTGATACCATCCCATTTTACGGATGGGAAAACTGAGGCTTACAAAGGTTCAAGAACTTGCCCAAGGTCACACATTTTGCATTCACAAGCTGTGCTCTAGCTGCACGGTCTGTGTGGGGCTCTCTCACCCTTGTACCCCATACATACTGTTGCTTCTGATCGTCTCCCCCGCCACACCTCCTCTAGCTGCCCTCAAGACCCAGCACGGGGGCTTGGCACATAGAGGGTCTGCAGTCAGAGGCCAAAAGCCCCGCCGTCCCCGGGCTAATGTTCGGCTCCATCAGAACAACATTCCTGACTTCAGCCATTTCCACCTACAACCTGCACTATATTCAGTTACTATTTTTCTTCCAGCCGACTCTTCTTTTAAGTGTATTTTAAAGAGGAAAGAGTTATCATTATTATAAATGGGAAACCAATATCACTTGCCATAAAAAGAAGGAAAATAAACACACAACTACTACAATTAAAAATGTTCCTCTGAAAACTACCTGTCATTTCACTTCCCACACTTTGGGGACCGCGGGACGGCGCCGAGCTGCTTCCGAAGCACTTGAAATGTCCCCATCCCATGGCCACTGTGACAACGACAAATCCCTCATGTAGGGGAAGCTGTTTTTGCTGTACCCATAATTAATCTCCACACGATGTGACAAAGACTGAGACAGGGACGCGCATGGGGTACCGTGGATGTGAGAACTGGGTGTGGAAAGAGAGGAAGAAAACCTCAAGCTTAGGGGTGGCTTTCCTGGAGGAAGTGACACTTGAATGGAGGCTTGAAGAATGAGTTAAGAGGGAGTTGGAGACGCTGAATGGGAAGGGCATGTGAGGCAGAGGGAACAGTAGAGGCAAAAGCGAGGAGGTGAGCAACAGCGCGGTGGGAATGGGTAAGAGCTGGCAACGGTTGGCAGCTCTCTGAGGCCCCCTGGCTGGACCACGTCCACCTGCCCACATCCCTGCCCACTTCTCTGGTGCACCCCCACCCCAGCCCTGCCCCACGCTGCCCTTTCCTCACCCCTGGACCCTCCCACCCCAGCAAGCCCTGTGGAAGGGTCTTCTTTGCAAGCCCTGAGTGCGCTCCATGACCATCTTTTAAAATCCCAATGGCTAGATGAGGAGACTGAGGCTGTGCACGGACAGATCCTCGGCACCCTGGAGAAAGCTGGAACCAGGGTCTCCAGCCGCCGACTTGGGCAGCCTGTCTCGGTGGGAAAACCGGGTTTGCGCCACGAGCCCCATTGCGCCCACACCCCCTCTCCTTCCTGGAGACTGCACAGAAGAAAGCAATCAGGAGGCCCTGATTGCACAGGCTGGGGAGGCCCGTAGGCCCCTCTGGCTATGTGTGAACGAGCAGTGTGCATTTCAGAAATATTTGAGCTAAAAGGGGAGACACACTGAAGTCGTTAGTGTGGAGCCGACAGGAGGGTGGCTGTACGAGGAGGCGCTGGCTGAGGCTCCCACCGCCCCTAATTCAGGCTGGAGCAGGCAGCCACCCTCTGCTCCCCAATCCAGCCCCGGTCAGCTTGGCCTGACCCCCGTGGGGGCCGTGGACACTGTTCGGATGAATGGCAGTGTGTGAGTTCCAAAGAGGTGGGGAGGAATTTTCAGTGAGCACCTACTGTGTGCAGGGCACCAAGAGGGGCACTCTTAATATGGCTTCTGGCTCATGATGACCTGTGGGGTATCTGCTTATTAATCCCATTTTATAGATGCAGAAACT